ATGAACTGCTAGGATTATGGCCTCGGCGATGATACAAGACTGCAAAAGAGAATGTAGGAAAGAAATTTCATTTACCTAAAAAGTCTTTGTGAATGACTTTTTGTTTTCACGTAAATACGTTTCCAACCTATAAACATAAATTTGACCACTATATATGGAAAATATTTGGGAAAAAATATATTTGTTTTAAATCGGATAATATCTCTCAAATTTTAATTGGATATTTTCTACCCAATTTCAAACTCAAATAATGGATAGAAGATTTGACACACAAATTTGAATAATTTTGATTTTGGATACTTTTCGTCCAAACCAAATAAAAATTTGCAAGTAAAAAAATAAAATAAAAAAATAAATGGTAAAAAAAATCAATCAGAATTAGAACTTCATATTACTTTTTTGAGATATACGAAAAGGAGCATTTATTGAATGATAAAATTTGATCAATGACTAGATACCACATCAATATTTTATATTTAGGACGAATAAGTCCTAAATTAATTTTAAAATGGACGAATCAAATTATATCACGTGTCTTTCTTAAGTCACCAAATGACACCAACTAATTGCATCAGTTGTTGTGAAGATTAGGTTCACACCCATTAAACTCATGGCCTATATAAGACCCCTGAGACACTATAAATAAAGAAGCTCACCTTTCATTTGAGGCATTGAGAGAACGATTTGGATTCAAATCATTTATCTACGAGCATCTAGAGCCGACATGAGTTGAAGACTTCATTAAGCTATGAACTTCAACCTACTGCAAGCCAAAGGCTTCAACTAAGATACAAGTCGATGTCTTGATGAAGCTACAAGCTGGAGAACTTCATCTACTGCATGCTGAAGACTTCATCAAGCTACATAGTCAAAGAACTTCATGAAAACTGTAAGCCGAATATCTTCAACAAGCTCCAAGCCAAAGATTTCAAATATACTTCAACAAGCAAGATGTCAAACTCATTGATTCAAGAACAAGCTCTTCAACCCTCAAATCAAGGTTTGCATTATTTTGAGGGAAAGCATAGAGGATTATAATTGTAACACTAATACGAAATTCTTCGCGAACAAAAACTAATCAACAAACTGACTATGGAAAACATCTTAATTAAACTAACTTGAGGAGGAGTATTCGAATTTCCAATATTTATAAATGTTTATGTAAATATTAGTCGTAAATATTTAATCTTTATAGTCTTTATTTCTTTCATTATTATAATAGGTCTCTCTCATTAGGTATCTTTCTCCTACTTCCTGACCTAGGTCGCATATATTTGAATATATCATAATATTATCTCTCAAAATTAAGACTTATTTTTGTATTCAACATTTAGCTAAGAATTCAAAATTTTTATTAACATAGGTGAAAAATATGCTTAATTAAAGAAATTGGGATAACATAAGCATAATTTTCAAAAATAAAAAGTAGAAACAGAATGATTATCAAATAAAGCCGTAGAAATCTTAAAAGTCCATTTTTTTCTTGCAAAAAACTTGAAAATCCTGCCAAACATTTTTAAAGCACAAAAAAATATACAAAACACGTGCAACATAAGTGACAATTGCTAGTAGCATACTAGCAACAAGTATTCAACATCGTGAACTCGACTCGACGACAACTCAGACATTGTACAATTCACCCACCTAACAATGAATAGCACATATAATTACAAGTTATAAATAAGAGAAACAAGGTTTGTAAACAGCCTTGAGGCATTCTCCTCAAATATGGGTGCCCAGAATGATATTGGCTCTTAAGCATTAACTTTGAGGGCTTGAATCATCAGCATGGATGCTAAAACTTGAGGAGGCTGCCTGATCCTGATGGGCAGTGTTGGGTCCTTTGGTTGGAGAATCATTTGCAAAGGCAACAACATCATCAAAAGTCCAATCAGTCAAGTATGCTGGTTTTGAAGTTACAGAAGCCACTTCAATATCTCCACAAAGCATTGCCACGACGCGCGACATCGATGGCCGACGGGCTGGGGATGTTTGGGTGCACACAAGACCTACTCTGATCACCCGCTTTACTTCTTCCTCGCCGAATGTCAATAAATCTAAATCCACCAGCTCGATTTCCCGGTCGCTTTCGTGGAGGTACCAAGCCTGCAAAAACACAATTTCATCCCAAGACCAAGTATAAGCAAGCTTAATGGTAGAAACCAAATAATTTGAACAATTATATCGCGAATACAATAACTTCTCAAGTATTCGAGGTATTTAGAACCTCCTCCTTGAGCTTCCTCGAGCATAAACCAACTAAACTATTATCTATCTTCCTCCGCTCCTATTCTATCTATAATAACTCCTACCAACAAACTCGCCCTTCATACAATATTTATAACTACTCAAACGGCCTTCCTAACACTTCAATGCACATAGTCACTAATAAACAAGGAGAGTTTTTGTATAGTCACTAATAAACAAGGAGAGTTTTTGTAAACAATATTTTCCAAATCATGTAAGATCAATAGCCATTTCAGCACAGAGAAACTTGAAAGTAGTATCATCATTCATTTTTACACACCTAAAAGTCCTCAACTTACGAATATTTCTCACAAAAGCACTACCCAAAGTTAAAACTGAAGATCTCTAACTTAAATCCAAGCTTAGTTTAAGAAAACACCCATCACAGCCCAACGCCATTCTCAACTCCCAAGTTCTTGCACTTGTACAACAATCAAGAAGTATAAGCTTAGGATAATATTTCTATTCAATCAACATTTCACAAAATTTACCTTCTTTTTCTTTGTTATCCACTACTTAACCTACAACAACCGTCTCACAGGATTTCCAAAATGGGAGTATTGATCGAAGAGGTAAAAACTATTAAAAAATGAAGATGGTAGCATCCATACCCATTCAAGAAGAAAAATTTTGTCCTCATCCAAGCCTGGGGCTGAATTTGGCCTACCACTCACAATTTCAAGAGCCACAACACCAAAACTGAAGACATCAGCCTTCTCGGTTAGATGGCCACGCATGGCGTATTCGGGTGCAAGATATCCACTGCATTAGTAATCATTAATGTGCTCTACTTTAGTACAGCTATTCAAATATAATGAGTTCATGAGGAGGGCGATTAGTCTCAATGAAATATTACATTGTTCCAGCAACAAGAGTGCTAATATGAGTCTTCTTGTCATCATAAAGTTTGGCTAAACCAAAATCTGAAATTTTGGGGTTCAGATCAGCATCAAGCAGAATGTTACTGGCCTTTACATCTCTATGCACAATTCGAAGGCTCGATTCCTCGTGAAGATACGCGAGGCCTCTTGCCACACCCAAGCATATATCAAATCGTTTTGGCCAATCAAGTTTGACATTTCTCGTTCCTACCTCACAAAAGCCAATAAATATTACCACTTTTATTTAGTAGCAACAAAATTAGATCAAAAGCACAGTTATTCTGCTAGCTTACCAAATAATGCTTGGTCGAGACTCCTTTTCTCCAGATACTCATAAACAAGGAGCCGTTTGTCACCCTCAAGGCAACAACCATACAATTTCACAAGGTTGCGATGTTGCACGGCAGATATTGTAGAAATCTCAGCCACAAACTGGTTCTTTCCTTGTTCCGATTTTTTAGAGAGTTGCTTTACAGCGATTTCTCTTCCATCATTTAGTGTTCCCTATGAGGGGCAAAAAAAAGTGTTGATTTATTCTTAGGAAATATTAGCTGTTAATATTTAAATTGGTCGTCATCATTAATTGTTCATTTTATTATGATTATCTTTTCCTTTCTTGCGTTGGGGTTTTCTCCTATACAAGAGGATTGTGTATTTCTAACTTACTAATTATTGTAAGACAAATATTTTATTCCTTTCAAACCAAGAAAAAGTTAACAAGTAATAACACGAACAGGCCCACAGTCATTTTAGCCCAACTTAGGGACTGTTAGTTTTTAGTCCATAAAGTGAAGTTTACCAAAGTGACTTCAATAGTCAAGTTAAGAAGTTGTGATGGCAAGATGAAGGACAAGTGGGGGTGTTTTATAAGGGAGACCAAACACTATGTCTAGATTTAAAATAAGAATCTTTCCCCTAATTGGATGCTTCAAAAATCCAATTCATGATTGGGAGGAAGGATCATGTGTGTGATTGGCCAAGCTTGATGGCAAGGTGAGAGGAAAAGGCATGTCAAAGGCATTCGTGCACTCAAACTAAGGATGGGTTGACTAAGACTTGTAGCATTCGACATGCATTATGGCTGAAAGGTCCCATAACATTGCACGTCGCAATGTGCTTGGGTTTTGGGTCGTCAGACCATTTAGAACTCTTTAATGTGAGACAATGTATACAAGAGAAAAGGGGGAAAACAACCTTGAGGCCGAGGAAAACAAACACAATTAAACTTATTGTGTTTGTGCTTTCTAATTTATAAGTAGGTATGATGTGAACATCATAGTAGGAGACAACCATAAGAAGACGTGCATAACCCAAGTCACTCATTGGTCATTCCAAGGAATGAAATGTACCTTGTAAACGGGTCCAAAACCCCCTTCACCAAGCTTGTTGGATGAACTAAAATCCTCTGTAGCATCCCTTAGTTCAGAATAACTAAAAGTGTACGGTCTCGCATCTATTCCAAGAAGCTCTGCAATGGTAAAGAATATACTGTCAATTTCGAGAGGAAATAAATAGAGGTGACAATAATCCACCCATTACAAATAATATAAGACCATAGGTCACCTTAAAAAAAGTGACAATAATCTACACATTACAAATAATATAAGAGTAGAAGCAATTAATACATATTTACAATAATTATTTCTTAAAAATATATAAAACCAACTCTCCTCAAGTTGTTTTGAAGATAACTTCTACTGTCAGGTTGTCAATCAAACTTGTCGAATTGCAATTTTTGAAGGCTCTTGTCGAATTGCAATTTTTGAAGGCTATTATTCAACACATGACCTTACTTTGCTGTTGTCAGGTGGGGAATACATATTACTCATGCATTAATTTTCTCCTCTATGAAGTATTTATCGACCTCAATATTTCTCCTTTATGAAGTATTTATCGACCTCAATATGTTTCGTCCTATCAGATAGAATTGAATTGTGAGTTATCGAAATGACAGCCTTGACACGCATAGGTGCCTTTTGAGTGAACTTCAATTTTGCGAGTAGCCTTTTGATCCATATACCCTCACAAATACCATGAGATAAAGCCATAAACTCGGTTTGACACTACTTCTAGCTATTGAATTCTGTTCTGTTTTTTGCTTCGCCTGGTAACTAAGTTACCTCCAAAATGGAATAGTAACAAGTGTAGAAAATCAAGCCGTAAATTAAGTTCTTTCCTTATTAGAATTTACATTATGTCTCTGTATATTCTGTAATTTTATTGTTTTCCTTATAGGTTTAGATTAATTCCTTATTTGTTGAAAGGTCTTCTTGTATATTTACCCCTAAATGGGTTGTAATGAGAATAAGAAAGATATAACCCTTCTCACAAAACTACATGGCATCAGAGCTAGAAAAACCCTAGAATCTGAAAACCCTAGCCGCCAGAATCTGAAAAAAAACCCTAGCCGTCGCTTCCGCTGCAGATCCCAGCCGCAGCTCTCGTCTCAGGCGCCGTCACAA